AGCCCCTAGTAGCGTCCTTGCTCCCAGTAGCGATGCCCTTTGCTCCTGAAGAAGCACCAGTCTTTCCAGTTCTTCCCCTGTGCTGAAGAAGCACCAGAGTCTTGGCCGTTCCCAGGTTCAACCCCGGCGGGGCGGCGATTCCTCGCGGTGGCGTGGCCGGGGTCGTCAGACGTCGTGAGATGGTTTCTTCGGGCCTTCCAACGCCGGGATAGGGGGTGGAGATGGGTGGGGTTTGTTTCAAGATCCAGATTGCAATATGAAGCAACTTTGAGGTGCCAAAGCGTGAGAAGCAATACATCCGAGAGGAGGAGCAGGGGGTTGGATTCCCATTGAGTTTGGTTCAATCAATCAGCAACTCAACAGCAGATCTTCCTCCAAAAATGAAGGCATTCGTTTTAGTGGTTTTGCGACCTGGTTGATGGATGATGTCGAACAAAACTGAAGTTGGCTACTACTGCAAATTGACCATTTAAGCATGTTGACGTAGCGATCATGAAGGATGCAGAGTGGTACGATGACATGATGGAGAAGTTTCTTGGCTGCAAGGATGGCTTTGACATTCCAATAATATGGAATCAACAACAATATAATCTCAATTCTTTTGAACAAGGATTTACAGAAATTTTTTAAACATTAAATTCCATTTCCAAATATTTAACCATAATATAATTCAAATCAATATTCTTGGACCAAACGGGACAAACAAATCGTTTTCAGGCGATTCCCTGGCTACATGGAAAAATTCATGAAGGTTGGTAAATAATTTCAATTAAAAAAAAAAATATAAAAGATATATATCTTTTATATATTTTATATTATTAATATATAATTAAATATATATATATATAATATTTTATATTCTATTTTTTATTATATTTTATATAATAATATTGATAAATTATGAAATAGATTATTTTTATTTTAATAATTTTCTTAATGAAGAAAGGAATATTTAGGTTTAACTATTTATAATGAATTTATTATAAAGAATATTTTTAATTAGGCTATTTTTATTAATTTTATTTATAGATTAATTTTATAAATTTATATGTAATTTAGAAATAGGATAGGATATAATTAAAATATTAAATTAATGAGATTATACTAAAATATACGATATTTAAAGATTAAATTATTTTTATATTAATATATTAATTAAATATTATGAATTACTAGAATGAATTTATTTATATTCTGCCGCCAGGAAATATAGATTATTATTTTTTATTCTGAAAAGATTGATGATTTTTAAATAGATATTGGGATATTAAACAATTATTTATATAATTAATAATGAATTTATGATAAAATAATTCGTAAATATATTAATTAATATTCGTTATAATTTAGGATTTACGGCAAAATTGAATCTTTTAAACATGGGAGAATATTTATTTCTATTATACAATATAATAAATAGGATGACGCAATTTATAGGATATATTGAAGATTTGCAATTAATATTTGGTATTAAAATATATTTTAAATATATATTTTGGGGGTGGATAATAAGACATATTAATTCAGTGCTAAATCGATTGTAACCAATTAAAGATATTATTCTATATTAACTAAAAATACGTTAATTCAATATAATGAATTAATTAATGAATAAAATCCTGTAGGTTTGAAGAAGGCAGAGAACAACATAGAAGATATCAATTTTTTTTTTTAAATTTTATAGAATATATATATATATAATTGCAATATAATTCTTTATCATTATGAAAAAGGAAGGATATATACAAGATAGAAGAAAAGATAAAAATTAATTAAATATTAAATTTCTTTCAATGAAGGAAAGATAGATGATATTTTCTTTTCAACAACTTAATTAATGGATTGAAATTTCTACCTATAACCTTCTTGTAGGGAATCGATGAAGAATAATTACGAAAGGGAGAAGGAATATGTCTCAAATGCTAGATTACCTAGATTTGCAAATTCCCCAAGAAAAACCTGTAAACATGAATCTAAAAGGAAAGGAATTCTTGATGAAAAGGAATTTACCTGGACAGAGAATTGGAATAAAACCATGGTTTGACCTATTCGTAGGATACCTCAGCGAGGAATTCATATACAAATTCAATGATAAATATCCATGTCTAGGCAGAAATGAAAAGAATATCATTTTGATTCATATGGATGATTTAATTTCATAAATTGATCAAAATATATTTAGTAATTGTTTCCAAAGATTCAAGGTAGATTTGATCCCGATATGAATAGAATTGAGAAGATTAATAACGAATTCAATTTCCTGAGGAGGAAAGATGGACAAAGATATATTATGGATCCAATCAGGTAATTATATCTAGTAGATGCTGAAGGTATATGAGGAACAGATTGGAAATATTAAATTCCATCAGCTACCTTCAGATAATTCAATTTGAAATGGAGAAAATCAGATTATTCAGAAGCATTTTTGGATCATATATCTACCTTTATCAAGAAAGGTATGACGTGGCATTTATTATCAAGGAATTGATTTCAAGATTGGCAAATCCAATAAATTTAAATTTCCAATAAGGTGTATCGTAGGCAAAAGGAAGAAATTAGAAATTAGGATAATAGAATTTGAATAAAACCTCGGCAGGAGACATGATGATGATAATCAATCCGATAGACTCACAGATTATATAAGGAGGTTTCATTGTGGATTCATTCCCAATGCAATCTTTCCAGAGGATGAAGAATCAAACTCTTGGTATAGACCAGGATATAATACCCTTTCTGAAACAAATGTAAGATTTTAGTTAGCAGGCAGGAATTGAAATTATCTGAAATCTATAAAAACATGATTCAATGAATTTGAATTATTATTAATTCTTTCAGATGGACTAGCGTCAACTTAATGGAGACATAGAAATCTAGAATATATAAATAATATTCAATTTGAAGAGGATTAGAGAGAAAGACTACGTGGTAGACTCGAGGGCAAGATTAACAGATTGAGAAGACAATATAAAATATGAATGCGCAGAGGAGAACTTGTTCAAGCGGATACATATGATTATGAAAGAATCCAATTTAAATACGTGATAGATGAGGAAAAAAAAACCTTAAGGAATATCGTTCCTTAGAATAAAGGTAGAAAAGAGCCAGAGTAGCGGTAGAGTGATTTAGTAGGCAGAAAAAATGCCTTCATGCCACCGAAAAGAATTTTAATTCATTGATAATATAGATCATTATAATATTGATATCTTCACCCGCAATCCAATTTTGGATTGAGAACAAAAGGTGCGTAATATTTTTGTATATAATAATTATTCTTTATAGGTTTTGATATATCAAATATATAAATGTATATTTTTCAATAAACATTATTTATTGAATATTATTGAATTTAGTATATTGATTTTTATTAATATTGAATTTAATACACTAATTTCTTGATTTTTAGTAATTTCTTGATATTATTTTGGATTTTATATATTTTCTTAATTTTTTCTTTCAAACAAAATGCACTATATTTCGATGCATTATTATATGCATTATTTTCGTTATCTTATTGAATGCAGGCATAATCATATACGCTGTAATGAAGTATTTTTCGCTACTGATGCACTAAAAGGACACCAACATATTGGGGATTAATCCATATTTACAAAAACTGGAATATTTTAGCAATGAATGGGCGCAACCTTATCTATTTTCGAGGTGACTCAAATACAATATGCGGAGTAATTTATCTACCTTGACGGAGTCCTGACAAAATAAAACCATTATGGCGTCCGATATTTCTAAGAGAATTGTTTTTAATATGACAATTCGCAAGAATCTAGATAGTTTCTGGAAAACATATAATGCAATAAAAAAATAGAAACCTGACATTATAATTCCGTTATTAACATAGAATTCCTCTATGATTTTGAGACCCTGGAGAATTTAATTGGTCTTCTTTACCATTTGTCAGTATGCCAATTAAAAGGTTTGTGCAAGATTCTGGGCATAATTCCTATGTAAAATCGTGCAAATACGATTGCAGAATTTTTCAGAAGAATATTTCCAGACATGAAAACAGACATAAAATCGTATTCATCCAAGAAACCCTAAAAATTTGAAGGCTTGCACTAGCTGGCAGACATATCAATTGGGTGCTAAATCGATTCCAATCAATCAAAGGTATCACTCCTTATGAATCAAAAATAGATTAATTCAATATAATGAACCAATTCATGAATCATATCCTGCAGGGTTTGAAGAAGCCAGAGAATAACACAGAAGATATCAATTTTCCAATTTTATAGAATATATATATGATTAGAAAATAATCCTTATCATTATGAGGATGAAAGAATATATAAAGGATGGAAGAGAAGATTAAGATTAATTAAACATTAAATTTCTTTCAATGAAGCTTCTACCTGCAACCTTCTTGCAGGGAATCGATAAAGAAGAGGAATTACGAGAGGGAGAAGGAATATTTTTCAAATGCCAGATTAGCTAGATATGAAGGACGTTTTTTTTTTTCAAACTCCACAAGAGAAATAATTGAAAATTTATCTAAAAGGAGAATAAATCTTGATGAAAAGAAACTTTCTTTGACAGATAATTGGAATAAAACTATGATTTGACCTTTTCGCAGGATACCTAAATATCCATATCTAGGCAGAAATGAGAAGAACATCATATTGATTCATATGGATGATTTAATTTCATAAATTGATCAATATATATTTAGTAATCTTTTTCCAAAGATTCAAGGTAGATTTGATCCCGACATGAACAAAATTGAGAAGATTAATAACGAATTCAATTTCCTGAGGAGGAAAGATGGACAAAGATGTACTATGGATCCAATCAGGTAATTATATCTAGCAAATCAAATAGAGAAAATCAAATTTTTCAGAAGCATTTTTGGTTCATATATCTACCTTTATCAAGAAAGATATGACGTGACATTTA